TTAATTAATATAATGGTAAAAATGATTGTAATAAACCGCCTTTAATGCCTGCTCTTTGAACTGGTTGAATACTGAAGCATTTAATAAGAGTATTTTAGCGTCGGTCCGCTCAAAATACTTTTATGTATTTTTATATTGCTTTTTATTCGCCGCGATAGCACACGTATCCGCTTTGGCGATTTTTCAGCAATTTTTTTGCTACAAATTCAGGTATTGTTGTTGCCAGAGCTCGTTGCTAGTGTTACTGTGTAGGTGTCTGCTTTTTAGGTAATTGATGATTTACAACTTATTTACGCTTCAATTGTGCAATAATTGAAAATTGCTCCAAATTCATTTGGGCATTCCCTAATACCCTGTCGCTCTTGGCAACGCAGCAGCTTCGGCTTTGCCGTCTTACAGGTCAGCGGAAGCGTTTATCGATTTGGCCGTGTTTGCTTTTGCGGTCTGCGGCAGCTTCTTAAAGTACCTAACCACATAGGAAGAAATTTAATCGGCTTAACACTTGCATTTGCACTAAAGAAAAAAAAAAAACACATGGCTGCCGCATGCCTCGTCTCGATATGCAACACAAATGGGGCATGGTAAATGAAATGGTGAACGGATTAAACAGAAGCAGCGACAGCAGCAGAAGGCGGCGAAATATGGAGTAAAACTGTTGAGATCTCTGGCAAGCAGACAAAGCGAAATGTTGATTCAGAGTTGGAAAGGACAAAGCATCTGTGGCTGCGGCGGCCCAACTTGGCATTGCGCCACATTAAATTGAAATAGATGCAGCAACGTGGTCAAAAGCTGGCCAAAAACCGACAGCTCGTCTAGCCTTTAAATTCAATGCGATATAAACGAAGCTGTAGCAGAAAATGTTCTCTGCGCAGCAAATTTAATAGCTTTCAACTTGACTGCAACAGCAGCTGCAGTGCCACTGGCAGCTGCGCACAACAATTTGCTAGCCAACATATGTCTAAGCAGCTGGCAACTTTGGCCAACTGGGCGCATACGTAATGCTAACGAAAATTCGACAATTGGCTACCAAAAATCGTACATTAATTGCACAGCGGTGTAGCAGTTTTTCTTTTCACGTTTGCTTCTTTTTTTGCAACATGTGGCAGCCAATTATTAAAGTCATTAGTAGCAACTGCAGTTGGCAGCTGCTGCTTGGCCATAAATATCCAGCCGGCCAGCTGTAAGCACATAGGCAGGTAGCAGTCAGGACAAATGACAGGCCGACAGCAAAATGTTGCCTAATTTTTTGCGCTTTTGGCCGAGACATATGCGAGGTCCTGCGCACACGCAGCGCCAAACATCGACGTTGACAAAGTTGCAGTCAACGGCACATAAATTTGTTGCCTCTGCTGCTGTTGCTAATTCGCCAGTGGGCGTGGACATAAATAAAAAAAAATGCTAGAAACAGCAAGCACAAATTATGCCTAGCTGCTGGCGGCAACAAATGCGATGCTGCATTAGCAGGCACAGCAGAGCACAGTGCAGCGACGTCGGAGCTGGCCACGACAAGAGGCCATCCTCTGGCTATTAGATTACCCAGTGACCATTAAACAAGCCTCTAGCCTCTAACTAAGTTCCCGTGCCGCATGCACGCACGCCTCATCGGGCGCAGCTCGCATAGTTGTTGCCATTTGGCAAAGCCATTTCGCATTCGCGCTGTCATCGAGCAAATGATATGTGTGTGTGCCTGTGTGTGTATGTGTGTGTGTGCTGCACTAATTATTTTGTCGGCCACCAAAATGAACACAGTTTTCAGTTGATGTTGTATCATCTTTACAGCGTTTTAAGTTTCACTCAATACAATTTCCACATTCATTTTGGTCAAACCTTACGTATACGTTATATTTTTTTAAATCAACTAGTCCGCCTAAACTTAATAGTTTACTGGCTGTAATTAAATGTACGGCTTCCGTTTCAGCAACTACTAAATGCAATGCTGTCAGACCGTGTTATAGACCTGAAACTGTTTACTGCACTGATAAACGTTGGCCTTAAGCTTTACCTCTGGTCATGAACTGCTATGCTTTCGATATTAAAGGCAAAATCAAAAGCAACCGGGTTGTTATTTTTATTTTCTGTGACTTGTCCTGATTTTGAATTTTATCTTTTTGAGAGCTTTCACAGAGTGTTTTCAATAATATGCAACAAAAAGCAATTGATTTTTTGAAACGTTTGTCTGTTTTCGCTTAGATTTAAGCTGATTGCAGATTTTTTGCTTGCAGTTTATAGAACTCAGCATATAATTGTGTTAACTAGCTTATAAGATCTCAGCAACTGTCCTGTCTAAAGTCCATGGACAATTTTTCAAAAATTTCGTTTTAGCTTTAGTCTAATAATAACGCTAGTTTAATAATAACGCTTAAGCGTTTGCATAGAAATACAGAACATAAGAGCCAAATAACGAAAATAGATAAGATTACCCATTTATAAATCCGATCTAAGTCCGATGTTCAATTAACATTTAAATTTCAATGGAAGTTGTGTCGGGATAAGACAGCAAAACAGTATTAATAGAATAAATTGTAAGGAGAGTTTTTCATAGCCGAAGTAGAAAAGTTAATAGCATCGAGAAGATAAGTCGCAAACGAACATTCCGAAAGTAAAAAATGAACTTAATATTATAATTGCTCTTGAATACTTTGCAACGATAAGAATAGATTTTTTAAAAAGCCTTGAAAAGTGAATGCTGGACTAAATGATAATTAGACCGGAAGAGAGTAACTATTAGATCTAACTAATTTTGCTATTCACAAAATGAGGAAATCTTTAAATAATTAATTTATTAACTTGCAAATTTATAAAAATTGTATCTTTATCTTTGATTTGTGAGTAGACTTAGTGTTCAAATGAAGTTTTTTCCCACAAAGCAATTATGTTCTACATTTTAAATGACGAAATAATTGATGTTATTCAAGGAAGATTATAATACGTTGATTTCTTTTCATACTCTGTTTACAGGCGTTAAAATAGTATATTAGTATAAATAACTCTTAAAGTGAAGTTGGCAAACTTAGCCTACAAGGGAACAGGTAAATCGCAAAAATCGATCAGAGAGATACCTAGCTGGGAGTATTCCGCAATCAACTTAAAAAAGGTCTGTGAACTGTGGTTAATAAATCTTTCAGCGAAATTTTCAATTAACTAATTAACAGGGGTCGATTGAAAAGCTTGTTGTGCCAGTTGCCTATTCGCTCCAGATATATTTGTACAGAGTATTATAAAACAGCAATTAGAAAACAGTAAAAAATTCAAACTGTCGCACACTTGGCCAAACATTTAAACTGCTCTTATCTCGAGAAGGAGGCATCATAAGGCACAGAGCCAAGTTGCAACTAACGAACGTGGCTCTAGTTGAAGTCGAGGCGCTGCCATGTTGCCACTTGATGAAGTACGTCGATTTGCCTTGGACCGACTGTTGTACATATATATTGAGGCAATAGGAGTGACCCCCTTGCCAGGGCCCGCTCGCAGTCAATTTCAAAGCACTTAAAACGGAAACGGAAGCGGTGAGCACTCATTGTCAGGCTCAGGCGTAACCGTTGTTTGCCCAGCGCCATTTCCCATTTACCATTTACCACTTGCCATCTATCCGCTGCTCTATCCGTTCCTTTTCGTCTACGCTTGCTTTTACGGCACATTTTTTATACACTTGGAAGGGGTATTCTAATTTGTTCATGAAATGTGTAAAGCTTAGAGTGGGAAATCTCCGAGCCCATAAGGCATATAGATTCTTGATCAGTAATAACAGTAGAGTCGTTATAGTCATGTTCGACAATCCTCTTTTGCAATGCTGATAACAGATATCCAGATTCTTATCAAAATCGGACTACTATTACTTTAAGCTCTATAGGAAAATCGGTCGACAAATGAGTTTTGTAGGGAAAAATTCTGCTTTTACGAGCAATGTGTCTGCAAAGCATATTAAATCGTCGGTGTAACGCACAGAGCGTTTATTTTTTTGTTTTTTTTTTTTTTTTTTTTTGGTATCGGTTAAATACTCTGGGCTCGAGCGTGTTAAAGTACATTTGATTTGATTTGTTGTTGACGTCGTCGCTGCTTCTGCTGTCGGTTAATGGACAGGCGGGGGAGCAGCAGTAGTTGGTCTGACACTAATCGCTCAGTTAGTTGACGGCCCCAATCGGGCGTCCGGCTCCCGATTCCGATTCCCCCTAGCAAGCCATCTAGATGTAACTGTCCGTCAACAGACATTCGAGTGCCACAGCATTTTTAATGCAATTTGTCTGATTTGTTGTTGACATATCTCTTGTTGTTGCTGTTCTTGTTATTGTTGGGTTGTTGGTTGTCGTGATTTGTTGCTGATTTTGTCATTTAGTGATTATAACGTAGTTTTTGCCCTGACACACACACAGTGGAAGGACTGTGCAACTGCAATCATTACTAATTGTCATCAAAATTAAGTGGATTTCGCGTTTAATTGAAATCGTTGCGTTACGTAAGTAAACCAACAAACTAATCGTCAGTGTTTGGTTTAAAGCCAAATTAGTACGAGTGACTGCAACAAGCAGTAGCTACTACTGCTGCAATTCAAGTCATTCCCAGAATGAGCCAACACGGCGACAGTGCTGCCGCCACATTTCCGTCAGTTCTCGCTCTTTGTAAAGTTCGATACCTAGTCCAATATTGGAAAATTTCACTACTTTAAATTCATAAAAATATAATAAAACATTTAATTTAATTTATGATACATTAACTTAACTTAATCATAAAAAATTTGAATGAAATATTACGAATTTCAGATGCAGGAAATCAAGTTTGTGAACCGAACCTTAAGTGAAGCACAAAACATTTTTGTTGGGGTTTCCGGGCCATGATCCGAGCTTCAATGTCTACTAATTTGTAAAATAGCTACAACTGCGCTCGTCTTTAATCATTTAGCCGATATCTATCTCATCTTCGGACTGTTTAGATTCAAATCGATATTATTTGCTGCCATGTTTAAGTGCAGTTTTCGTATCATTTGAAACATTGAGAAGATTGCTTTTTCATTTCGGTAATAGTTTTTTTTCCTTTGGAAAAAAACAAGTATTAAAAAAACTATAGTATAATTTATGAGCCAAGATTTAACAATTTGAAAATACTAAACAAAAAAAACTGACCAGAAAGCAAGAAAGTCTGGTGAGTAAATAGGGGGAATATTCTGTCAATAAATTTAATAAAAACAATAACGTAATAATATAATCGTGAATACACAAATGATAAATCGTTAAGAATATTTTATGCTTTTTAAAATATAAAACTTTATTTTATTTAACATTAATTTCTAGCCATAACAAGCTACATTTGGGTCTTGCCAACACTGCTCGGACCTAGGCTGCCACGTTGACTGCCCGAGGAGATAAAAGACAACAGTCAATGTTTTCTAATTGTTTCCGAAAAGACTGACTATCCTGTATAAGAGGCCACTTGCACTAGACTTTGCAGGAGAAACGAAGATGAAAATGTGCAGTAAATGATGGCAATGGCATTGGTTGAGACAACTGCAACAGCAGATGCAACCATATAGAGACCAGCTGCAGTGCAGTTGACCGACACTCCGACTTGTCGTTGTCTCAATGAGGTGCTGTACCAGCATCCGGCATCGGTCTCATCAGCACATGTGTGTGCGTGTCCGGCAGACAATTACATGACCTAGCTGACCAACTGGCCAGCTAACCAGCAGACCAACGGAGCAGTTGGCAATCAGGTCCGTTGAGCGAGCGGCTGTTGTTGGAGTCCAGCAATTTTCCCCACTAAAGGTACGAGTGTGGCATTATAACATGATGAGCCTCATTCAGTGGCAAATCTGTGCGAAGGCAGCGGCCATTAAGTCACAGCTGAAATGCACCGGCTTGCAATGGACTTTTTTAAGACCTTTGCACCGTAAGCCGAAAACTCGATTGTTCTAATGAAAAAAAAAAAAACCCAACTGAGAAACTGTTAACAGGATGCGTCTGCGGATGCGTCTACGGATGCGGCTTTAATTTATTGTAGAGTCAATGCCACACATAGCCAAAATGCCACACATGCTTAAAAGGAGAGTACCACACGTGAACATACCCTGTATACGTTTGTTTATATGAGGAGAATTTCAGAGCTTAAAAGTGCTGAGCTTGGTCGAGGGGTTTGAATAACCATCGTTCCTATAGCTAAAGCAATTTGATATAGTTGCCCGAATCGCCCGACTCCGGCAGTGAATACTGCCTACGTCAGATAGACAAACCTATGCAAAGGCACAAAAAGAAGCCGACTATAATAGGACATATAGAATAGAAAGTAAAATATTAAATAAAAAAAATTAATTAAAACATCGATGATTAATATATTCTGCCCAATAACATCTTGTCTATACATTATTATGCCCCTCTTAGTCAATTTGTGCATTTAAAGGGTGTAAAAACAGAGAATAGAAAACTTTTGAAAATGTCCTTGCCCAGGGCTCTAAATCCTCGTTGAGGGCCAAGCCAAAGTTAAGTTCTCTGGTGTTGACTTCATTTGATGCGGCTTAGTTGGCATTACAATAGGAAATTATTTAATTGTGCCCTGGACAAGTGCGGTAATACCCATATAAAATTGCTGATTTACTGGCCATCTGTTAGGGTGGAACAGTTAATGAATGTGTGTGTGTGTGAAGCTGCCCAAGGGACAAACTTATGACTTCATATTGGCCAAGGCTTGAGTTATTGGCACATCATGTGCTGCGCTTCTCACAGCGTGCTCCTTGGGAGGCACATCAACACCAAATGAAGGACAACATCAGCACATCATAGGACCAGACTGAGGACCATAAGCTGCTGCTGCTACTACCGCTGGTGACAGCAATTATGGCAATTCAAAGTCACGTAGTGTGGCAACAGATTTTTCGAATGATTTCATAAGTGCTGAAAACATACAACTTTACACAAAAGCCAATGATAGCGAACTTTGTGACTGAAAAGGATGCCATGGACGGCCATTCGTGTCGCATTTAATTGCATACCCCTTTTAAGTCTTTAAAAAACTTGTTGCATCATTATAATTTATAACTATATTGAAACGAAATTCAACTAAATGATGTATAAGATAGCAAAATTTTAATAGCGCCAACGCAGTTTGTGACCACTTAGTCTTGGTCTTTAAAAAACTTGTTGCTGCCACACAGCAGCTTATAACTTATAAGCATATAGAAATGCAATGCAAATAAATAAATTACACGCCGCATAGCACATTTTATATAGCACTGCGTGGCGCACTATTAACACGCCAGCGGGTGGCCCGGCCGACCCATTAATATCAACTGAACGAATCTTATGTTGAGACCTGACTGGAACCAAATAGGCGCCAATAATAGCCAAAATGCCCATTTAAACTGCCTTCTTACTACAGCACAGCGGCAAGCAGGTAAACAAGCTAAGATTGAAAGGCAACACAGCTAACGATAAATCCTGCTCGCCTCGCTTGTTCTTGCCAGTGCCGATGCCAATAAATAAAATGCCGTCGATTGCCAGGCAACGGACAGTGGGTTAGTTTGCACAGAAATAAAACAACAATTTACTTTAATAGTGATATTTGAATTTATTCGCTAGAGATTTTTGTATTACTCGAAAGAATTGCATTTCGTTAAGAAAAAAATACTTAATGAAAAAATGTTTTAACCCTTCAGATTTTCTTTAAGGACAAATTTTTAGATTTATTTTTGTTCATACCTCAAAGCTGGCTGTTTTTTTGTTTTGTTTTTTTTATTTTTTCTTTTATAGACTAGCGGGCATAGCCTCCGGCCTTGCCCGTGGCATGCATAAAATAAATGTTCTCAAAAAGCTTTGAAAATGATTTTGAAGCTGATCGGACGGTAAATAAACAACTTTCATACAAACGTTTTCCGCCAGTTTACCACTGTTGCGCGTGGAATTTCTCAAATCATTGAAATACGTATTCATCAAATTATTATGCACAGCTTTGAAAATAATATTGAAGCAAACCGGGTAAAAACGTCATTAAAAATTCTTTGAATTGCACTTTTACCGAAGGAGCTTAGATCCATATAGATCCTTGAAAATTTTAGCACGAAACATCATCCACCAAATCTTTGACCCCCATTTCCACCAGGATGAATACATTTTTGGAAAAGTGAAAAGCACCCCTCAAATGAAATATTTGCATACAAACGTTCTTCACGATTTTTCCATCTTAACGTTCACACTCATCAAATAAGGTAACTAACTAATCGCCAATCAGTCAGTCAGTCAGTCAGGACAAACAGTTTTATATAAAGAAATATCTAAGACCCGGGAAACAAATCAAAACGAATACAATTAAAAAAAATTGTATGTAAATAATAAAAATTAATGTACATATATATGCTAATGACCACATCTGATCTAACTTTTAAGTAAAATTAATTAGAAATTTTATTTGACAAGCGATATTTATAATAGAAAAACTTTCAAAATGTGTCAATTTAATCTATTAAAGTTTTATTTAAACATCTTATAGTTGATATATTTTCCCACTGTGGGAAGTCTTGTATGCGTATATATGCGTCTGTGTATATATGCGTATATAGACACAATGTTTTAAATCAATTTGTCAGCTTGATCGCCAATCAGGCGCTGTCATAAACCTAGGGAGGACCCAAGTATAAATATAAAGGTGTCTATAGTTGCCATTAGTCGCGCATTGCTTTTAGTCGGGTTAGCGTTTGGTGTGCTCATCAAAATTTATTGGCACGAAAAACAAAAGCCAAGCGCTACGAAATTTAACAGCGAGCAGTTTTTACTTACGGCTTACGGCTTAACATGCGATTAAATTCTAATGTGGATTTTGTGAGCCAGCAAGTGCAGGTAGCTGACAAATGACAGGTGCTATAAGCGGGAGTAAAGCTCGCATCATTGACAAGTTGCCATTAAAAGTGTTTATTGTTCTTGCAAGGCTGCGTAAAAATAAGTAATGACTGCCTGCCGTCGTGTCCTTTTGGATTTTATTAACGTGCTTAGCTGGCAATTCGATATTCCTTTCCGTTGGCAACTGGCAATGACTTGATAAAGATTGATTGATTGATGGACTGATGTTCCGGCTGCTATCTGCTACATTCTGTGTGGCATGACAAATTGAGCTGTCATAATATTGTACACGAATGCCACAAGATTTGCACGCGTACGCAGCGTATGAGTAATCCAATGTTGCGTATGCGCCGCATGGCACCAATACAATGCATTGCAGCACATTAGCAACAGAGACACACACATATCGCACACAATCATCAGCATTAAAAACAAATAATTTTACAGCACGCAAACACACAAACACACAAGACAAACATACCAATACTGTGGCAGTTAAGCTTTAATTTCGTGCTGCTTTATAGAGGGCTTACACCGAGCACACGTACGTATTAAACAAGCACACGCACATATCTGGTCGTATGGGGGCGCGCTTGATGAGCTAAATTAAATATTGCAACACAAATAGCAATAAGAACATGATGCGTAATTGCATGCGTTTTATCACACCGCCCAAGTAACGAGCATTAAAGCCAACATCACATTTACAATATTAAGAAAGTTGACGGTGCAAGCAGGTGTTACCTTACTATATGTGTGTGTCAGAGTACTCACCCAAACATACACATACATCGTATTTAATTACCAGGCATGCGTCATGCATAGCTGGACATGATGCCGTTGAATCAGCCACTGATTGCATGGCTGCAGCATTGCCTGATTAGTGCAACTTTGTTGATGCCACATTCAAGTCGGCGCTCGCATATGCCACATCATGCACGTTCAAAGCGAAGAGCATGCATTATTTTATGTAATTTCTACGGTCATAGCTGCAAAGAACTGTGTGAAATCAAGGAAGATAAGGCAAAAAAAAAAAAAAAAAAAAAACTGTGGCAATTGTTACCGCTCGACCATTTTGATATAAGTAGTTGGACGCGCCGAAAAAAAGGGAAGTAACAACTTCAACATTTTTTTTTAAGATATAAGATATAACATATAACATATGCAAAACTAATTCCGAAATAATATGAAATATAAATTTTGGTTAAATCATTCGACTATTAAACTATTTCTGCAGAATAAGTTAAGATATTTGGCAAATATTTTTAGAAACCAGTTGAAAGCAGATTAATTAAGCTTGTCAACCTGAATTAATTCTACTTTCTTAAAAGAATTTCTGTGCCTTATTGTGGGTTACACTTCCTGCAACTATAATCAAGCCCATTGCACGGGAAGGGGAAAAGCCCAAACACAAAAATGTTTTATTGTCGCTGCGCTTCACATCGCTTTGCAACTCGTCTCGACGCATCGCGTTGCGTTGCTTCTTGTTGCTTGTCTTGTTGCACGCCTTTGTTTCAACTGTCAGCTGTCAGATGTGTTGTTGCGGTTGCAGCTTGGAGTCGGTTTGGTTTAGTTTAGTTTAGTTTGGTTGGGCTTGGTTTGGCTTTAAGCTGCACTCACATGATGCTTGTGCCGCTTAATGTTGCAGCTTGGGATGCTGCAACTGTTTGTTGATACTAATATTTGGTCTTAGCTGTTGCTTCTGGCACACATTTGTCTACATATGTTTATGTGTGGGTAAATACAAGCACCCCTACTAAAATCCTTTGTTTATTTTTCTTCATTTACATTTTTTTTTTTTGTTTCTTTCATGTTTGAGGTTTTTAAAACAAAAGCTGCTTTCTGCCCGCAGACCAACGCACTTTCCTAATATTAATGCTAAAGTGCAAGAGGTGAAAAACTTGTTTGCTCAAAAAGGACTTCAGCACGGACAGTTGTCTCAAAGTTGACCATGACTCTCCCAGTCGACTGCCACAGTGGGGCCAAATGTACTCATTTTGTATTATGAAATCAAATCTAAAAATTAAAATGGTTGACTTTATATATAGTTTCATAAGTTAAGCTCTAAAGAATGTCATGTAATATTTACATTAAATTAACTAAATATGTTAAGTTAACAGCTGTCAGATGCAGAAACAGGTGCTTGAGCTTCTAATAATTTCTTGAAATCCTTTGATCTGATCTGAAGCTACACACTCATTACCTAGATGCTTTCTACCAGCCCAAGTAAATCCTAATGTCTTACTCTTTTGAGAAAATAAGACGCATTGCCATTATTTTCCTTTACTTTTCAATGTTGTTATGGCACAAAAACTTTCTATTTGTCCCATACTAAAATACACAATGGCTAACATATAACAACGAAACATCTGCACTAACGATATGTATTATTGTATATTTCAAATAACTTTTCCTTCACTGTAAAGTGCATTTAAGCTCCTGGCTCTGGCATTTACCCCTAGTCCATGGGCAAAGTTATCAAGCCACACGACCACACAGAACCACAGACACGCACACAT